TTACTTTTGCCTATTTAACCACTGCCAATCCATGCAATCAATTAAAACTCCATTAACTCATTTCTATTTTAAAATGAGTTATAATTTGATATTTTTACCTTAAAACATAAATAGCATTAATATTAATGTTGCACTTCATGCGAAATGCACACTCCCTCTTTGATGTTTCAGCAAACTTTGAACTGTATTTTGCTAATTTTTAGAATAATTTCATCACGAAATCATCTGATTTCTGACAAAAAGGAAACTCAAATATAAGACGAAGATGTTTTCTCAACTCGGAACCTTATCGTAGTGCATTATGGAAGATTGTTAACTATTATATTAACTATAATGACTATCGAAACTAGAAACATGCTCGGTGGTCGAAGTGTTGGCCTCACGCCAAGAAGATTCCAGATTCAAATCTCGCTTCGGGCATGGATGTAATTTTTTTCTCTATTATATTTGTCCTTGTGCTTTTAGGGTTATCGATATAGTGCCCTCGGAAAAACAATCAACAATACCACCCGTTAGATAGCATGTGAGGTACTCCGAGAGCCACGTGGTGCTTTTCTTTCTTTTTTCCTTCGGAAAAAGATAGAATGACGAAACATTTCTTTACTTTTGACGAAATTCGTTTCCAATATATATATTTAAAGGCAAATACGTTGAATCTTCCATAACTGACGTACCTGAGATATCTACAATACCTGAGACTTTATTATTTATCCAAAACATTGGAACAGAAAAAAAGAAAAGGAAAGTTGTAAAATTAAAAGAATTTTTTTTTTTTCGTTATCTAACTTTGTCAAAACTTTCTATAACACATTTGACATGATAATTCATACAAACAACATACAAGTTTAAACATGTATAAAATAGAAGGGACGAAATTAAAAATTTTAAAATGTCTCTTCTATTTTGATTTCTCAACACGGTCTTCAAATAGATATAATAAGAAATAATAAGTAAAAAAATAGTTTTTTTTTACAAAGTCAAGACATTTATTTAAAAAAACATTGTTTCGAAAATGGCGAAAATTTCAATTACATCATTAAAAAAATAATGAACTTTTGTTATATCTTTCTCTATTGATAATAGCACCAATTTATTAAGTGTTCCCTGAAACACAATTGATCATAAAACCTTTTCGACTAACTAAAATTTTGAAAAAATTCTTTTAAGTTTATATATTTAAAAATGATATCGAAATAAAACTTCCTAATTATGTGTATACAAAGGAATATGTCAGTTAAGTAATTTATTTAAACGAGTATTTAGCAATTTGTGGACAATTTATTGCAGAAACATAAAACATATTGCAGTTATTTAAAAAGTGTTTTACATTAAAATAAAAACCGAAAAGAAGGCATGGTTCTTTTTTATAGTTTAAACAACAACTTTTAAGTGCACTGCAATCAATATTCCCTTTGAAATTTTCTAATTCAAACTTTTCTGATTCTCCTAATGACGTATCATTTTTCGTATCTCCCTGAACATCATTTTATGTTATTTTGATGGTAGTAAAATTTTCAACAGCTTTCTAACAGCGTTCTCTTCTTTTATTTCATGCATTTGAAAGTTATCTGTGATGCTGGATTTATAAAGATTTAAATTGAGGTACTTACCTGTTAATAAATCTTTTGAGAGCAATTAAGATTATCGACTATCATTCGGTGGTTGTACGAGAAAGTATGCAATAATTTGGTGTACAGTTACCACCATCCACCAAGCACGGTGTTGAGATAAACTTTATTTTTTGCAGTGAATGTATCAAATTTTTTATTTACTGCTTTATTTTTATAGTTTTACATATTTATTTATTTATTTTTTTGTTTCTTTGCCTACGGATAACACATACTTTCAAGCATATTGGAATCAATTTAATGGCTTCATTGAAAAATAATTTCGTTTAAAAACAAGCATATTTTTAGTAATATGTATATTCGAAAAATTCTTTCAAACGTTTGTTATTTAGTAAATCTGCATTTCAAAATTTATTTCAGTTCTGCATTTAAAAATGTATTTAGTTTACCTTTGACATGACTAAATTTAATAATCTAACACTTAACACAACTAATTTAATTTAACATAACTAAATTTAATAATTTAACATTTAACATAATTAATTTAGTTTAACATAACTAAATCTAATAATTTGACATTTAACATAACTGATTTAATTTAACATAACTAAATTTAATAATTTAACATAGAAACTATACTATACACCAAACTTTTTTTACAGAGTACATAAACTCGAGAAAGCAAAAGTTTTAAACTTTAAGAGACATGATTACATTAATTATTTTCTTTCTCAATTAGTTTTTTTGTTTAACAAAATGTAATAAAAAAAAATAAATGAAACAAGATTTAAAAAAATTAAAAGAAATAAACAAAATAAATAATTTAAAGTAAATAAATAATTGAATAAATAAATAATTCAAAATAAATAAATAATTAAATAAATAAATAATTTAAAATAAATAAATAATTAAATAAATAAAAATTCATTGATTTTTATCGTAAAATGCCAGAATAAGGATGATGACTACAGACTTTACAGAAACTTTTTTTAATTAGTTTTATTATTTTGTTAGCAAGTGTACACACATAATGCAGAGGACATTAACTTGCCACTATCTTGCTGTCCCTTCAATAATCCGGGATTTGGAACTTGAGACCCAGTAGCTTACGGTAATTAGTTCCTGATTCCGTCTATTTAAACCAACCTTCTATTAAACCGTTCTATCGATGTATAAAATACAACTTTTCAAGCTGCGAGTTAAAATATTGTGTTGGAAATATCTCTGAATAAAGGAGTAGTAATACTTCTAAAAGGAAGATAAAGGCGATGACTGTTCAGAGAGGAACAAAAGCTTCATTGTCGTATGAAATTTTGATGGGAAATGAAAAATAAGTATACTTCGTTCTTTAATTTAGTCACTAATTCCGGTTGGAAAAAATAAGAATATTTATGTTAATTATATACGATTGATATAAATGTTTGTAAATCAAACGCGAAAATATTCAAGAATAATTTTTAAAAAATCATCGAACACGAAGATTAAAGACACTAAAAAATTAAACAAAATCAAAAATTTAACAGATTCATCAAAAATAGTAGCATTTTTTATTAATTTCAAAAATTTTGACCCTTTGAATTCATATCAAGCATATTTTTATTATTATTTTCTATTAATTATACTTTTTTTATTATTTTCTACCAATTAATTAGGTTAAAATATTATATTTAGCATTTTTATAATTTTTGCTTCTAAAATACCGGTATATTGAAAATTGAAGGTAAACCTGTCAAATACAAAACTAATTCCTTACATTTCGCTAAAAAAGGGAGAAAAAAAAGCGGGAATTAAATATACTGTTAAGAATAATTATCTGTGCATAATGTAGCTCGAAAAGACCATTCAAATGCAGTATCTTTTCAGAAACACATAACTAAAAGAAATAAGTTATAATCGATCACAACCTAAAAAGTTATATTGTAATTAGTTTTTTATTTTTTTTTCTAGAACATTTTTCATCAATTTGTTGGTAAATTTTAAATGATACCGCATTATTTTTATCAGTCTTTTTTTATTTTTAAATTTGTTTTGTTTAATCTATTTATAAGAAAACGCTGTCATCAAAAACGTTTGTATCGGTTTAAGGAAAGAGAGATTTTAGATGAAATCAACCTTGAATAAACGAGTTTTGAAAAATAAGTTAAACATTTTCTATTCGCGCTATCAATTCGCTAGGTTTATGGGAAAAAATTCAAAAAATGTTTGTAAAAAGAAAATTAAAATTCGTCATTTTTTACTATTCTTATTAATGTTACCACTGCATTTTCCCAATTTCAGGTACTCCTCACATTTGAGAGTTATGTTCTATCAAAAATGTTTCTTTATTTAGAATTTTTATTATCTTCTTTATTTCTTGTGACTTAATTGCTAAGTATTCATATTTGTTAAGTCTATTCGAGGACTCTTGAACCATGAAAATTGTGATTCATTTTGTAAAAGTAAAGGTATTTCAGGTTATCGAATTTTTTTTAAATTTCTTAAGGTACAGGTTGCGTTTTTCTTGAGAGTTTCATCCGAAATGAGCATTTGGTGAATTAGGTAATAAAATGTAGAATAGGTCAAAGTGTTTTTGCAATTTTTTAGTTATTTGTGAATGTAAGAAAATATTGAAAATTTTAAACTCGCCTCCCATCACAATAATAATCCACTTTAATGTTTTAAAAACATTTAAAATGCTTAAAAGCATATGATAGTACTTAATCTTGGATGTATAACATTTTGTTAAGATGCAAAACATTTTTGTGAAACAAAAAAACATTTAAAAATTTTTTTTTCCTTAAAGAAGAAAGCATTTGTTAATAGATGTCTCCAAAACAGATGAAAAATAAATATTTTTAACAAATGTTTAAATAAAATGATGCCTCGTGCAGAATATTAATTAGAGCAGCATGGCCGAGACACGAAGACTTGAAGCACAATATTACACAATATTCTGCTTAGAAGCTTTAAGTAACTTAGTAATAATTTTTTGTAATTTAGTAGCTGTTTAAATGTTCTTTTCAGTGTTTTGAAGGAACTAAAAGCTTTAAGTAAATAGCTGCAGAAAAATAATGGCAATACAGAAAATGGCTGCAACTATTTGGTTAATTCAAGTACATTTTCATTCTGATTGACTGTAACTAAAAACAACTACTGAAATATATTGTGAACTTAAAAAAATCATGAACTTAAGGAATTAAACAATGAAAGTTGCATTGATTAGTCATTGTAGTATTGAAAGAAAATGAAAACTGCAAATATTCAAATCGTTTTTAACTTAAGGTACTAATATTAGAAAGATAGGAAAAAGATTCATAATACGTGACAATCTTTTTAAAAATTACTATACAAACATTATTGTAATGATAATTATTGCTGCATGTAATAAGCATGTGACCGGTATAAAAAATAAGGGGATCGGTCTAAGTTGCAAAAATCAAAAGCACCGTAACAATGAAAAAATCCCCGTACGACGAGATAGAAGGGATTTTAGTAAAATGGTTTAAAGAGGCTCGTGACTCTAATGTACCTGTAAATGGCACCATATTAAGAGAAAAAGCTCAAGAAATCGCCGATAGACTTGGTTTAAAAGACTTTACAGCTTCCAATGCCTGGATTGACCGGATGAAAAAAAGACATAATCTTGTGTATAGATCGCTCTCCGGAGAATCATCAAGCGTGGATGCAGCTACAATAGAAGAATGGAAGAAAAATTTACCAAATTTGACCAAAGGATACAAGCCAAAGGACGTATTCAATGCGGACGAGACCGGACTTTTCTTTAACCTTCTGCCGGATAAAAGTTACGTTTCTAAGGGAGATTCCTGCCACGGAGGGAAGATGTCAAAATTGCGTCTTACAGTTTTACTATGCTGTTATTCTGATGGAAGTGAGAAGGTGACTCCACTCGTTGTTGGAAAATCACGCAAACCACGATGCTTTAAAAACGTGAGAAGTTTCCCAACAAATTATGAAGCAAACAAAAAAGCTTGGATAACAAAAGCCCTTTTCGAAGACTTTTTGCAGAAACTGAATAAAAAGATGAAATTTCAGAACCGCAAAATAATTTTGTTCATCGATCAATGCAGTGCACATCCGGATTTGCAGCTATCTAATGTGCGTGTTGAGTTTTTTCCTGCAAACTGTACAAGCAAATTACAGCCTTGTGATCTCGGCATTATTCGATCATTTAAGGTTTTTTACAGAAAGCAACTTGTCCGGAAAGCTGTAGCTGAACTAGAGAACGGAAACCTAAATGACGCCTGCAAACTAAAGTTAAGTGTTCTGGAGGCTATGCATTTTATTTCTGCTGCTTGGAGAAGCGTTACACAAAAGTGCATTTCCCACTGTTTTGAAGAAAGCGGAATCGTAGCTTCTAATGAACCGTTAACAGATGCAGGATTAGATAGACTAGACTCGGAGAATGACAATGAAACAGTTAGCTATGACTTCGACGAGTACATCCGAGAAAACTTAGCAACATGCGAAGCTGAGAGAACCACTGCTCCATCCGTGGACGATGTTATGGACTTTTCATCCGCCGATGAAATGAACAAGAAGAAACAGAAGCACAGCCCGTTCCTTCTTTCAACACAGCATTGAGAAGTTTGATAATAGTGAAATACTATTTTCTATCATACAAAGACCGGGAAAAAAATTTGCAAAAGATTTCAGTCTTGGCAGATGAGGCATTTACTTTGAACTCAATGTCTAAAAAACAATCTACTATTACGCACTATTTTGCACCTAAATTACATGATTCTTAACAAAAATTGTAAAAGTGATCTTGAACTGGTATGTTTTTTTCTTTAAATACTAATATTCTTTTCGTAAAATATAGATTTTAATAGTACCTTTTGAAAGAGTCATCTTTACTACCTATAGTTTGTTTTATTTTCCCATTATTATTATATGATTTTTTGCTATCTAAGTATTTCCCGTATTTTACGTTTTTTTTACCCAGTCCCCTGAGAAACGTAAAATCGGGGTTTCACTGTATTACGTTTTTCTAAGAACTGTGAAAACTTTTATAATACTCACTTGTTCCCATCAGCCCCACTACTATGCATTTACACTAGGGCATTGCAATCATTTGTTAATTCATTATCCAAAGTGACAATTAAAATATGCCTCCTATTTAAACTCCCGTTATTAAAATCGATAAGTAAAAGTAATTTAGAACTACAACTAAAGCAAAAATCACGAAGTTACTCTTCGACCAACTTTTCTTTCAACAAGTTCTTGAAAAGTGTGATACAGTTTTTGCAATCTGCTAAAAACTTTTGTTGAATATTTGATTAATAAATCGCAGAAATATCCCAATTGTCTAAGATAGCACTAGCACATATCCAATACTCCTTAGCCGTTAGCTTATAAGTGTGTATTTCAACGAAGAGCAATTCAACGATGGAAATTTTTTAACCCCAAAAATTCATGCTCGCACTAAAACCAATAGTAAGTTTCCTTTTTCTCATCGTCATCTTTACCTAAACTTCTAATGTGTTTTAGATTGTTTAGGGTTTAATCTTTGAAAACAAGGGTGTTGCATATTTTGGAATTATTTTAGGTAGAGTACCTTTTCTATATTATTATATTTTAATTCGTGAAAGTCTTATGCACGATATAATGTAATTAGTGTAATTAGTTAACAGCAAATTTAGCATTATTTCGGAAAGTATGCCCTTAACGATATAAGGGGGTACCACATGTATTAGAAATGGAGAATAATTGATAGAAAACATTCAATAAAGAGCGTAAAGAAGAAAAAAAAAAGGAAAAACAGATTAAAAGGGGGGGGAATGGGAAAAGTTACTGCTTTACAGTTTGCTTTCTTTTTAATCAGCAATTTTTTTAAATTTATATTTTCTCCATAATAAAGAAAATAGTTACGAATTTCATAACTAAATTAATTATATGTTCTTAAATAATTTATACACCCATTTAGTACTCCACGTTTATCCACAGAATTACTGTTTTGCATCTTTAACTTAAAAGCATATAAAAAATTTAAAACAATGACTCATTTGTAAACTAGTCAAATGTTTAAATGGTTTTATAATATTGTTCAATTTCTTATAGTGAGACGGGCAGGGGAGTTAGATATTTATAATTAATTCCGCCTTTTACACTACTAAATATTTAATTGAGTATAAGCTTTTAATTAGCTAAATGACCGGTCATTTTTCGGTAATATTATGCCTGTACAGTAGTTTTTTTATAAAACGTCTTATATTATCCACGAAACTACATCAATGATGTATTATCTGTAAACATTTTTAAACATATTGAATAAAAATTAGAAGAGGTTTAGATATCTTGAACGAGAAGGCTTTTTGTTAAGATGTCCGTAAATATAGTACATAAATTATTTCATAAATTAGTTTCATTTAGTTTAAAACATTGTATAAATAAACACATAAGGTTTTATTTGCTATTGGATTCCTAAATAGTCTTAGAGAAAAAAAAATTCTATTATTTTAGAAATTTACTTTTGTCTTACATCTTAAGGGGAGCATATTTTCTTTTCTCTTTAAAAATCAATTTAAAAAGTTGCTATTTTGACATTGGCTGGAATACATATGCTGCTTCGCTTTAAGAATCTTATTTTATCAGCGTCATTGAACAGGTAACTTAATTTTGAGTTCACGATTGCCAAAGCTCAAATTATAGCTTTGTAATTTTGAAAATGATTCAGAAGACAAGGGAACTCCTGGTTCAGGTATTTGGAGAAATTTGCCTTCGTGGAGGACTTTTTTGATGGAACTAATCATCAATTGTGTTATATGGAGATTTAAAAATACGAAAACCTCTTGCGGTTAGTCTCTAAAAGGGGGTACTCTCAGAGGACTCTAACCCATTATCCGTCATTTACAGAAAAATATTTTATACTTTATTTTATGACCGTCGTTGAACAGTCTACCAAATTTTGGGTTTACGACTACTAATGTACAACTCCGTAGCCTTATAATTTTGAACCCAATCCAGAAGACAAGGGAACTCCTGGATCAAGTATTGTGAGAAGTATGCCTTCGGGTAGGACTTTTCGATGGAACTAATACGCATTTGCGTTACATGGAGAGGAAGACCACTGGAACCTCCCACGGTTAGCCTGACGGCAAGGGGATTCTAACCCATGATACGTCTACTACTGAGGGTATTTTATGTCAGCACTGTGGTCGGCACAAGTCGAATGCGGAATTCGTATCGACCAACCATCGCCGAGATCGAACCCCGGTTCACCTCATTGGAGGGCGAATGCTTTATCCCCTGAGCCATCGCGGCTCTACGAAGAAATATTGTAAGATAAGGGATACGTAATAATATATGCGTACGATATATATGAAAAATAGATTTTTCTGCAAACTAGTTACTAAAAATCTCCAACCACTTAAAACATTGATTGATATTCAACATCATTACGAAATTTCGATGTATAATAATAAAAATAACATTGACAAAAGTGAATTTTAAATATCGATAAATACTTTAGGTCTTAGCAGCAGCTGTTATTATTATATTTACCACTGAAATAAATGTAAATTTTTTTATCCATTGCAAAAAAATAAAGAAATAATGAATTCTGACGAATTTATTCTAAATCAATGAGTTAATAATTCTTTTTCATCCATTCACGGACTGAAAAAAAAAATCCGAATACAATTTCAATCAATAACGGCATTATTTTTCCTAACAAATATTGTAGAACTATCACCTTTGTTTTCGTTTTCTTTCTTCATTGGAGATCAAGAAATTAAACCGAGAAAACAGCTTCGATATATAATATCATATCAACTATTCGCTGTAGTATAAGGAAAGTAAAGGGAAAGTTTGTCTTATCACTATGAAAACCTAATCAGTATCATCAGCTACATTTTTCTTTGGCTATTCAATAAACAGATAAGCTTTCAAACGTTAAGAGATAGGCTTCGAACTGGATTTTAAACATTTGTTTTATATCGAAATATCGGATACGTCATTCTTTGCCTGTGTACGTAAAATCATTGCTGCTTTTAAAACATATTTAGTTTACTACACAATAATGTAGACTCTTAGATTATCGGACTGCATTAAAATTTGCAATTTCGCACACTGTAAAAAATTTCTGATCAAATTACGATGTGAAATATTTGCTCTTTGGGTGAAATATCCGTAAAATCCATTTTATCAAAAAATTCATTTCTACCGTAAAATATTACACTATGATTTGACTGTAGTATTCAATTAATTAGAGTTATTCAGTGATTTAACGGAAATTATTACTGTAAAAATTACGGTTTCGTAGTTCCGTAACATGTTCCGGTAAGAAGTACCGGCATCCTGAGTGCCGGTACGTTTTAGTATAGTTTGATCCTGGAAACGACTCTGTGGAAACCCCAGTGAAGAATGGTTTTGACTGTTATATTTAATTAATTAGAGTAATTCAGTGATTTAATGGTAATTATTACTGTAAAAATTACGGTTTTTCAGTTCCGTTACATGTTCCGGTAAAAAGTACCGACATCCTGAGTGCCGGTACGTTTTAGTATAGTTTGATCCTGGAAACGACCCTGTGAAAACACCAGTGAAAAATGCCACCAGAAAAATAGGAGCAATAAAAGAAATACATCTTTGAATAAATACTTTACATGAATGAATGTTATTATTTCTAGGTATTTTATTCGCATAAAATAAATTAAACTAGTTTTATTTTGACAACTACAAACATTTTATTATGAATGTTGATTCTGAGGAAATCTCTTTAAGTAAATGAACATAACAAAAAAAGTATTACAGAATTCTTTGAAATTTTATAAGTAGGTGTTGTCTTATGGTTTAAGCTTAAAACTAAGATCTAACAAGGGAAACTAGGGAAGTGTGACTCGCCAATTTTGAAATAAACTAGTGGGATGTATGCCTTATAAGGAATAATTTTAGGGGGCGACATTCGTTTCGGCCCATAGAAGGTCCTATGAGAGATTAAAAAAAAATTCAATATATAGAAAAATCGGTATTTTATTACTTGTTGTTGTTGTAGTTCATTTACGTCGCACTAGAGCTGCACAATGGGCTATTGGCGACGGTTTGGGAAACATCCCTGGGGATGATCTGAAGACATGCCATCACAATTTTGATCCTCTGCACAGGGGATGGCACCCCCGCTTCGGTAGCCCGACAACCTGCACGCGAAGTCCAGCATTTTATTACTTCAATGCAGACTATTAGTCATTGTAATTGTCACATACTCCAATTAATTGGTTAATTAATTACTTTTCTAATTAATAAATTAATCGACAAATTTATTAATTAAGTAATTGTTAACTAATTAATATTTAATTATGTGTTAATTAATTATTAATTAATTGATTTACAATTACATACTCCAATTAATTTAGAGAAAGAAAAAAAATTTTAAAAGTTTGATGTCAATTTTTTTTTTAAAATTAACCTAACAGTTTTTTCTGAAAAACTACAGATATATAAAATTTTCGAAATCAATTTTGACAATAAATATGCATTATATAGTACGTGAAAGTACCACAAAATTAATTGGAGTATGAGATAATTACAATGACTAATAGTCTGCATTGAAGTAATAAAATACCGATTTTTCTATAGATTGAATT